CTCCTCTGATTACAATACATTCTGCATTCTTTTTTAGGCAAAGAAGAGAGTTATGATGCTTAACACTGTAGAAGCTCATGATCTGCTCACCCAAACTTGCCTTCCTGAGGAATTTTGCCTGCTTCAGTATCAGAATAAAAAACCTAAGGCAGATAAAATAATAGCCAGAAGAGCTTGTGCTCACCTGACGACAGTGTCCTGTTATGATGTTGGCCCACTTGATGCATGCTTTGTTGTAATAGACTCAGGCATTCTCCAAGGCAGCTCAGGGTGGCAGCAGAGGTAGCTTTTAAAAGTAGCAAGTCCTGATCCAAGGCAGAAAGGGGCCCAGAACTTGGGAGAGATTCAATGGCTTGTACAAGATTCTTCTGTTGTCCTTCAACTTGGCTCATGATCTGTAAAGGTCAAAAACATCTGCTGTCATAGGAAATATCACTATGTAGCTGTTAAATTCTTATGGATTGAAGTAGTGACTAAATGTGAAGAACTATCACAAATGGATGTTAATGTTCTGATCCAAACATACCACATACTCACCTACAAAAACGAAGGGCTTGAGACTACCAAAGGCCTGTAAAAATGTCAACACTATGTTAGAGAAAATCATCTCTTAAAATAGTAGGTTCACAGTAGGTTTAATAGTGTGCCACATACTTTCTGAAAGCCTTTGTAAGGAAAAGTATGAAAATTCTACTTCCTTCTCCATAATTAATTTAGGCTCAGATTTTCTTGCCTTTTTAAGATATCTGAGACACCCAAGGAAGTTACACTGTCCCTCCTCCTTTCCTACACAGAACCTAATCACAGCTTAAGAACAGACATTATTCATTTCTCAAGCATCAGTAGGGAACTGTTTTTACAAAATAAGGTAATTTGTAAGTTTATAGACATTAACATAAGATGCAACTTGAAGTATTTATTTAATATCAGATATGAATACCAGCTGTCAGGGAGAAAGTTAACCTGCTTCTAGATTTGGACCACCCAGATGAAGATGAAATGGGTACTTGTATAGCAGATAAAAACGTTATTTGAACAGGCTGCTCATTAAGCACATTGGCAAGCTTGCAAAATCCTAAAGCCAAAAGAAAAATGAGATGTTCAAACTCCTCTCTCCATTTTTATAGCCTGTAGGAAATTATACGTGAACGCGATAAGCCTCTTTTCTTACACTTACCTTGCAAAAAACTTTGTGCAAAATCATATAGGTTTATACTTGAGGTATTCAAAGCTTTCAGAAAAATATATATGAAGACAGCATAATAAAGATTTGAGCTCCACTTATCTACACTACTATACTGTAAAAATGTATTATGAACTTCATGACTTTTTAAATGTCATTATTATATTTTCAAAGTATGGTGTGCTCCCAGTTTCCCTATGCTGTCATAAATAAGACTGATCTAAGAGTACACATTGAGCGTGCTGAAAAGCTAGAAAGGAAACTGAACCCAAAGATGCAAATAACCATCCTTGGGGGAAAAAAAAAAGCTAGAATTAAGAATTAAGAAAAACCTGTTGCAGTTCATAAAGAAAAATAGCCAAATGTCTTGCTGAAGGTTACAATGACATTTTAACAACCGACATTTAAAACAGCAGCCACAGACAATTTTAATTCCCTTTAACAGAAAACAAGATTAGACAGAGGGTGACACAGACCTCCCCAATACAGAGCTTTAGGGAACCACTAGAATCTCAGGCAGTGCTCTGCTTTGAGAAGTCACACACTGTGTACCTGAGCTCCACAGCACAGACATGAGGGTTGCTTCAAAGATAAAACAAGAACAAAAGCATCAGAGGCATACATTCATGCAAATATTCCTCCCTCAGGAAAGGAGCACAAAGAGGCAAATTGAAGGAACAGCTAGGAGAAATAAGATGATCAACTCCCTGGAAGACTACACAATATAATTGTATGGAAAACTGCTTCTCTCCTTTTCCCATCCTGAATAAGAGTGTGAAATTGAAAACCTGACGTTCTCATGCTTCACAGAGACAGAAATGTTCTATTTTCATTTCTAAGTGACTAGTTTTCCTACTTTTCTGGCTTTTTTTGTTTTGTGAGAAACAGTTTACATTTCCAAGATTTGCTTCCACAGCAAACAAAAATCCAAAATAAAACTCTGAAAACTTAAAATCTTTCAATGTTCCCCTCCCTCTTAATAAAGGGCAACTATGTTCTTCTGCAGATAAGACAGGAGCATAAGCTAAACTGATTAGAGCGTTTAAGGAAACATTTGCAAAATTAACTGCATCTTTGCAATTATCAGCTATCCCAAAACTCTACAGGCCTTTGTCAGCTACATTCATCCTAGCTTCGGAGAAATTTCAATAAAATCAATGATTTATTCTTCCTTTATCCAAAACAAAGTGTTCTCTGAGTCTTCCTGTTCTTTAGATGATTAAGAGACTTAAAGCAGCCTTTTGATTCACCCATGCTACCTAGTTTCACATTATAGTTGTGATACCAGCAGCTGTTCTACAGACCTGGCACAGCAAAAGACACCTGGAACGGCAACTTCTGTGTAGGAGTCCAATTGCTGGAACGTGCTGAACATTGATCGCTCAAGCACTGATCAAAGCCAAACTGTTTAAGGTGCTGAATGAGCAGAACAAAAACGAAGAACCCTCCCTGTTCCAGAGAGTGACAGAAGAACTCTGTGGTCAAAATGGGAAGGAAATAACATACACTGTTGAAGTAACTGAACTTCTTTTACATGCTTGCCAATTTTTTTAGACCTTGACAAAAGATGCCAGAAGAGCTGAAGTATAGTTGTTCTAAATAGAGCAGAAATGAATCAAGGAGGAGATAATACAAAACCACCAAACCATTCAAGATGAAACTCATCAAACACACTAACACTTAACACAGAACAGCCACTACATCATGTAGCTACAGCATTACTGCTCTATCTTACTGGTGGGTCTGCTTTTTGCTGTTTGGGGGGAGGAGAGACTGAGAGATTCACTTATCAGCACTCTAAGCTAGTTTCAAAACCAGAATGAAAAGGTTTGATTTTGAAAAAGATAAATTGAAACTCTGAGTTTCCAAAGTGAAATAACTTGCTTAATTTTGAATTGCTTTGCCCTTGCACATGGTTATTTTAGTAGCTTACATTTCTCCATCCTTCCCATTTGCAAATACAAACAGTTCAAAGTAGTATTTCTCTACTTTTTAAAAAGGTAAAGGCTATTTGTCCCCATCTGCTCACCAAATCTCAACCCACTTCTCTTTCCACTCTTGTTCTGGCTTTGACACCTCCTCTTTCACCTGTATATTCTCATAATTTGGCAAAGAAACTGCATATTCCCACAAAGGCACTAAAAATTCAAAAATACAACTCTACGATAGATACAAAACAGAAAAACTGAAAGAACTATCAGGATTACATGTATTTAAAGGAATTATATGCATGCAAATATCTAACATTAGTAGGCCTGCATTTACCTAATTGCAAAATGTTCAGTAAAAGCAAGCCTCATGCTAAGAAGACACCAGCTCATATGCATGGTTTGTTCCTTTCTCCATCTTCTACCTGCTGCAGGAGAACAAGCAGGTGACATTCGGCGTTCCCTATTAATAGCTGTTCCTGAAGCTTGAAGGAGATTCAGACCTTTTAGTCTGTCAGAAATTCTCAGGTATTGTCCATGTTCTTGTGGTGGGTTGACTTTGGCTGGATGCCCAATGCCCACCAACCTCTCTCCTCAGTTGGACACAGGGAGAAAAAGTACAACAAAAGGCTCATGGGTCGAGATAAGGACAGGGAGGTCATTCACCAATTACCATCACAGGTAAAACAGACTCAACTCAGAGTAATTAGTTTAATTTATTACCAGAGTAAGGTAATGAGAAAATAAACCCCAAATCTTACCTTCCCTCCACTCCTCCCTGGGCTTAACTTCACTCCCAATTTTACCACCTCTTTCCCCACAGCAGCACAGGGGGGACAATTACTGCTGCAGTCCATTCATGACACACTGTTTCAGTCACTTCCTCCTCGCTCTCTTCACCTGATCCAGCACAGGATCCTCCCATGGGAGACACTCCTCCATGAACTGCTCCAGCACAGGTCCCTTGCACGGTCACAAGTCCTGTCAGCAAACCTGCTCCAGCATCGACTTCCCACAGGGTCATGGCCTGCTTTGGGCATCCACCTGCTCCAGTGTCGTGTTCTGCATGGGCTGCAGGTGGATATCTGCTCACTGTGGGCATCCATGGGCTGCATGGGGGCAGCTGCCTCACCATGGTCTTCACCATAGGCTGCAGGGGAATCTCTGCTTGGCACCTGGAGCACCTCCAGCCCCTCCTTCACTGACCTTGGTGTCCACAGAATGGCTTCTCTCACATATTTTTACTCCCCTCTTCTCTGGCTGATGTTGAACAGGAATTTTTTCCCCCTTCTTAAATCTGTTATCCCAGAGGCTCTACCACTGTGGCTGATAGGCTCAGCCTTAGCCAGCTGCAGGTCCATCTTGGAGCCACTGGCATTGGCTCTGTCAGACACAAGGAAGCTTCCAGCAGCTTCTCACAGAAGGGCCTCTATAGCCCTTCTGCTGCCAAAACTTTGCCTTGCAAACCCAATAAAATTCTCCTCAATAACACTGCATTCCAAGAAACCTGCATTCTGACAATACCCTCAAGAATGACTGAATGCAACTAGAAGCATCCCTGATTTTTTTCCTCAGTAGGTCATTCCCTCCCTACCAGTTGCTCCAAGACAGCCAGTTCACAGCTTCTATTGCTGCCTGCTTCCTCCTCTTCACTTTGCCTTGCAAACCCAATAAAATTCTCCTCAATAACACTGCATTCCAAGAAACCTGCATTCTGACAATACCCTCAAGAATGACTGAATGCAACTAGAAGCATCCCTGATTTTTTTCCTCAGTAGGTCATTCCCTCCCTACCAGTTGCTCCAAGACAGCCAGTTCACAGCTTCTATTGCTGCCTGCTTCCTCCTCTTCCTGGCTGATCTTCTTGTGTTAC